ATATAATCATATCATTATGAATAATTAAGGTATCTATTTACATGCCATGCAATATTAGAATGTGTTGCAATACCTAGGCACAACAGGTGATGTAAAAATGGCTGTGGTCAAAAAAAAAAAAAAAAAAGTCATGGTGTTTAAGATAAGGGTCATTTATTTCTTTCAGTTCTTTCTTTTTCTAGTACACAATGAGAAATGGAGATCCTTTCTGGTAGTTAAAAGCATACTTTTGTTATAGGATAATTAAGTAGCAGTGTTAAAGCTGTAGGTAGAGAAATGAACTGTTGCAGTTAGAGAAAGCATTCATGCTTCAAAACTTAGCATATGGCATGCATGTCTGTGATATTATTCTCACTGTGGACGCTGTCTTGTCAAATGCTGAGCTTCTACAAAAGGGTGATTGGTGCTATGTTTTAGAGAAATTAACTGCACTAATTGTCTCAGAGAGCTGCACAGTATTTTGCAAGATAAGGATCCATGCCTTCATCAGCATATAAATTCCATTAGTCTTCAATGAAGTGATGTGTCCACATGAAAAAAAAAAAAAAGCTTCTAATTCTGCATTTATTAACATTAATTTCAGTTTATGGATAAACTACAATGAGTTTTTTGAATTTGGAGATTACAAATTTGTTTCTTTTCAAGCATTTGCTAATCTGCATACTAAAGGATTTGCTATTTTTATTAGTAAATGTGGGCCAGATCCTGACATTTTTCTTCACAAGTGGTTCATGATAGCTTGAAAAGTCAGAACCTGTTCCTTTGCTTCATGACCTTGCTATGCCTAATTGGTTGAGAACAAAAAAAATAAAATGAGATTAAAAAAAAAAAAAAAAAAAAAAAAAAAAAGAGGTGCAGTGTTATGGGATAATTATATTTGATGGGTACGTTCACAAAAGTGACCAGCAGTGAAAGTTGAAAATCTATTATTAATTTATTCTGAGCTTGACTTTCCACTAGATTTAACTGATTTACATCTCTGAGTGATATTGTATCATGTTTCCTACAGAGTAAAACATGATGCACAGCTCGAGAATTGGTTATGAAAACTTTCTACACCGCAGAAAGCACAGGAAGCATATAAATTAAATAAAATTGAGGTTTTGAAATACAATTATGCCTAACTGTATTAAAGAAGAAATAACATTTAGAGATGATGCTGTGAGTACGTAGTTGCTTTCACTATCTGAATTGGCACACGTGAGCACACATGCTCAAGAGAACTTTTACTGTTCATCTTACTCAGGGCAAGTCTACATGTCAGAAGGAAGATCTATCATCTGAATCAGGTAAATATTTTGTGGTCTCAGCAAGTTAGTCTTACCACAGTGTACTTGTTCTTCTGTCTGGACTGGATATAATAGCACTGCAGTGTTCCCCTATAATTAGGAATACTTTTGTAACCCATTTTAGAGGTATCCCTAAACTTCTAAACTACTATTAGTCTTGTCTAATCTATGGTCAAGTCCTAATATTCTTTCTGATCATGATTCCTATTCATAACTTGCTAAAAGATAATCACCACACTGGACAAATAATGTGATCATTATCACTGTCTTCATATCCATTAAAATTGATGTCCTCCTTAATATAAGCACTCCTTAATTCTGCTCCATATACATTTTTGTCTTTCAAGACAATTGCTTGGGAAAGATGTTCTAAATAGTAAGAGTTTCACACAGGCAGAGATTTAGGATTAACAAAATCCATAAACTTTCTATTTAGATAAAGAGCTTTGGTCAGCAACAACAAAAATAATGAAACTTTGAAAAAAAGTTTATCTTTTTAGTAGTCCTTTCAAATGTGTACATAAAATAATAACAATGATAAATAAATCTTCCTAGCTGAAGAAACAAAGCTAGAACTGGCATGAGAATGGCATCCATATCATGCCAGCTTACCAATAATTTTAAGTTATGTTTCACTTCGAAGATATGTAGAAAACTTCAGTAAGGTTCAGCCACCTTCTAATTCTGTGCAGTGGGATTAGCTTTTTATTTTTAAAGTCTCTCGTCTGGAATATCACTAAATTCCTATCAATATCTAACTTTGATTTACATATATATATTCTTATTTTTCTGTTTTATACAGCAGTACTAATATTCATGGTTGACCAAAAGGAATGAGTACATTCTGAATATAGGCTTAGAGTCAATTTCAGGTGCTGTGAAACCCATTGGTTTACAGATTGGATTGAGTCCTCATTGCTAGAGGTATTTATTTCTTTATTTCTTGCATGTTTGTTTTGTTGCTTTAATATGATAAGTATATAAAAGTTAGTTGAGGCTTCAAGGATTTAGAAGTATTAAAAAAAAAAAAAAAAACAAAAAAAAAAAACAAGATGGGAAAGAAATTACCTGCAAGAAATTTTAATCATATTTATTTGTGCTCTTCCTACACAGGTTGATGGCAGCAAAATAGTACTCTCTCTTTCTGTGGCATTATTAGCATCATTGTGAGTTCTGATTTGTGAAAAAATTTCTGTCCTTCAGAGATTTCTTTTTCAAATATAATCTGTTTAAAAAGGCACTTAAAACTTAAAATAGTTGGTGTTATTTGAGTTTGCAAATATTTATGGTATTTCTAGTTTTAATATAGAACTTGATGCACCTCTACTTTGAAACTCAGCGTATTCAAAAATAAGTTACTTTCACTGTTACTTCTTTTTCAAGATTGCTTGCCTCTTTTCCTCCACCATGCTGCAACAAAAGTCATTATATAATCTTGCACACTTTCTTGTAAGAAAGTATTTGCTGTGTTTTCTCTGTTCTAAAAAGGAACACTGACCTGTGCTAAATGCTAACCTTTCCATAAGCTAGCTGTACAAAGACTTGTGAAAGAATGCTTATTACATGTATTTATGCATATCTAATTAATCTGGGCCAGATTATGTCATCTTTGTTCTGGGTAAGTAAAACTTTATGCTACTTAAATAATCCTTTTAAACAAACTCCTACTTACTAGAGGAACAACAGAATATGGCCCTCAGCATTTATCATTTGTGTATATTCCATTCTAATACATATCTATGAGAACCAAATGGACCATGATATGCTTAAACAAAAACCTGGAAATTCAGAATGAAGCAAACAAATAACAAAAGAAACAACGGGAATCATGTCCCTTAGGCATCTGCCCAAGAACTAACACAACACAATCAGGAATTCAGAACATTTATTGCAAGAGCTCAATAACTAAATAATGTTGAACTGGCAAAGCAGTAACAAGGATAACTGGTTAGATATTTATTCTGTCAAAGTCATCAAACACCCCTCACAAACTGACATAAGTACTGCAATAAGCAATGCACCCCTAACCCATTTAATGCCGTTTATAATGTGGAAGAAGAAAATAATGTGAATTACTATGTACAAAAGAATAAAGAAGAAAAAAATAATGTGTTTGTGGTAAGAATAAAATCACCTTCAGGTTATTTAACTGTTATTTTAAGATTGATGTTTCACTGTGGCATAACTTCTGCTTTTTTATATTTTTCTGCAAGGACGTTTTTTAAACTTTTGCATGCTATTTATTTGTGTAAATAATCTGTCATGCTTTAACAAAAACAATCTAAGAATGTTTGGACTTGGATTTGCTTTGCGTGCAACTTAGATCTTATTAACATTAGTAGTCACTCTGCTGGTTTGACGGAGGTGACATGATACTGGTACCTGCCAGGCATTGACCAACTATGATAACAAACAATTAAACAGCAATAATTAGAGATTTAACCCTTTATTTCCCCCAACTAGCCTACCAGGAGAATGCTCTGTTACATCATGAAGGCACAACACATTAAATATTCTCTGGCTATGGTCTAAAAACGCTCGTGTTACTACAACATTAACGGAGATGAAGATCCACACAAATGCTGCTGTTTCAGCAATACAAACTGTCTTAAGTATAGACACACACTTGCCCAATTGGAAAAACATGATTATTGTATTTTCTGCCTCTATAATTTCCTTCATAAATTCCAGCTGAGATCAATGTCAGCTGCCACTCATTAAATTCCAGACTGCAGCTAACTTGATCAAGGATCAAGCCCTTACACATATCCTTTCTCTGCTTAATATTTGGAAACAAACAAACAAACAAACAAAAAACTACCTTAATGCCTGCATCACCCGCTACTACTAGAAAGAAAAAAACATTTTTCTTCTTGCTCTCCTTTCTACCAGCAACCTTCTCTCTCACCTCATCAATCTTTTTTTTTATTATTATTATTTTTTTTTTTTTCTCCTTTTAACACAAGTGTTTTGAGTTCCTTGGAACACTGTGTGTCAGACAGATTACTAACACAGAAACACCATCACTGAAAATGAAAGCAAAACAACAGGAAGCAAATGAAAGAAAGTAAAAAGCAACTCTGAAACACAGAAATATGCTACCGTATCTTTTCAAGTGAATGTTATAAGTACACAAATTTTGTAAGTAATAATTGTTTCTATTTACAAATATTTGAACACTGATTGACTTATAAGTGTCCACTAGCATTAATAGCACAATAGGTTTAATGTTTACAGTTTCAGTTGTTTTGTTTGCTATATGTTCTCAAGTATAATGGTCCCAGCATAGATCAATGACAACAAAAGCACAATTTTCTAACTGGATATTCTTTTCAATCATTTCAATCCAATGAGCTTTCTCGCTCTCCCACTCTCAAAATGTATCTTCTGTTGTTCATAGCAGCAGTCCAGGGTCAAAACAAACAAACAAACAAAAAAAAAACACAACAAACCAAACAATAAAAGAATATTCTCAAACTGGAGAGATTGCTGCAGAGTTTAATCATGTCTATTTAACTAAACCACACAACTAGTAGGAACTCTTTCATCTTGCAGGACATCATATCTTCCACGGTGCTAACATAAAGATATGCATATCTCTGCTAGGCAAAGCATAGTTCTAGAGGTCTACTCAGTACATAAAGCTCTGACACACAAACAGTATTAGCAAGTCTAAGCAGGCTAAAGTCATTGGCCCAAAGTAACCGTTTCTTATAGCTGGTGCTCCTTTGGACTCTCAGCAGCTCCTGAGGCCTGTTTGTAAGACTTCAAGTTGGCCAGAGGAATATCAGTCATGTGATTGCCAGTGTTGAAATGGCCTTCACTGGAACCATACTGCTTTCTATCACTGAACTGGTTTCTGTTGCTATCTTCTTTCCAGGTCCTGGTCAGTGTGTGTCCATTAACTAATTTGTCCTTCTTAACCCATTCTTTCTGAGATGCAAAGGTAGACATAGGAGACTTTGGCTGTTGGTATGGACCCAGGCTGGGAGGCATCCAACAATTATCTGAATGACCCAAAACCAGACATTCTTGAGTACACATCTCTGTCGCTTCAGCTAATCCTCTTGGCCCAAGAGGCCCATCTGTAGTAGAAGAAGAAAACCAAACAAACAAAAATAACAACAACAAAACAGAAAGAAGAAAGACAGAGAGAGAGGAGAAAAAATGACATATTAGATTTTGATATTTGACATAACACGTATACATATACTTCCTGAGAAAATTTACAATGATTCTGAAAAAATATTGCGTCTTTCACAAAACCTGTTGTGTTCATGGTAAATCCTAGATACTTCTTCATTGTGTTGAAGTGATTGCTTTATAGCCCATGTACTCTGGACATGCAATTTCTACATATATGCATACACAGTTTTCAAAAGATTATTAAATTAGCCCTAAATTATCAGTCTTTGGTTCTACTCTGAATAAACTTAACTCTTCAGTCACACTGAGAATACAGAAGTAGGTAGGTGAAAATATCACTCTTGCAGATGCTGAGCGAGAATTTATACTCCTTGTAAAGGTCTATATTCTGGATGCATGCTTTTATTTTCATCTCACCTTATGCCTTTAATGCTTTGACAATTTAACAGTATACTGTAATTTAAGAAACATTTTGTTGTCTGAAAATGTGTCTGCCAAGGGTATTATCTGAATGCCAGAAGTTTCTATATTTCTACTATTGTACAAACATAGGTTAATACACAGCTTTAGACATATACCCAGTAAATAAAGCTCTGATATTCCCAAAAAGTAGGAGACAAGTTAAAGTTTTCAGGATTTACTGTGAAAACATGAAAATCTTGCAAAAGTTTCAAGTGTTGCAACAGAAAACAAAGTAAAAAAATGTAATTTTTCTGACCATTAACACACATCTCAGCAACCATAAAAATCAAGGGGTAAATAAAAAAGGAAGGTTATATAAATCTTGTTCATCATAAAGAGTTGTTCTCATAACTATTTTAAGTTAGAAATGTGAGAGCACAGGAGACTGAAATTAAGATTAGTAATGTACTATGCATATTAAATATCTTCATCGTCTTTGACACACCACTGAGGACACAGCTGGCCAGTTGAAGGCATCTTGCAGTCCAGCAGACAGGTAACCCATATCTTCAGTAGCACTAACTTTCTCTCTGTCATACTGTATTCCTAACTGACTGAACTTGTTCATCTAATCAGATTGGATTTTTGAGGAAGGACAAGATAGTAAAAAATGTAGAGAAACTACTTCATGTGTCTTTGTGAGATATTTCTCACTATTTGAAATATATTTTTCCAAATGTGCTGCAATTTTGAGCAAGATTTTTAAAACACCCTTTCTCAACTCCAGAGTAAATCAGCTAGCTAATTTTGTAGACATTTGAAGAGCTAGAGACATTTTTCCTTGATTAAAAAGCCCAGTAACATGAAAGAAATTATAGATTGATTTTTGAGAAAGAATTTTAGAGGAGAGAAAGGAAAAGTGAAGTTACAAAGCATCTTGAAAAGTGGTATAAATCAAGAAAAATGCCAGTGATGTACCAGCAAAAAGCAATTGTTTATAACAATAGAATTGAGATGCAAAATAAGTGAGGGCACTAACAAAGATTTCTGCATTACAATGCTGAAGAATATTTCATTCCCTTGTACACTATGCATGTACAATAAGTTACCCACAATAACAAGTCCCTTCCTGAGCACTCAACTTATCTCAATTAATTTCGTAATTGCTATTTTTTCTCTTTTTTTTTTTTTTTTTTTTTTTTTTTTAAGTTGCCACATAGCGATGTATTGTAGTCAGTTCCGCAGATTATTATTTTTTGATTGGTGTAGGTGGCAAATGACAGCTGTGGGTAGAGAGATCTTCCACTCTCATTAGAGGGCTAGGAACTCCAGGGCAGCCACAGTGCTATTCGTTTAGCTGTATTGGAACAGTTACTCAAAAAGCCACGAGGTTTGGTGCAAGTCTGAACACTCTTCTACTTGTGCCTGGACGTAAAAGTATGTGAATGAAATGCCTGCCAGACTTGGGGAAGGGTTTGGGTTTCTACTCAAGTGAGTGTGTATATTTTCAAGTACTCTGTTTCATGCTTTCTGTTCTGTAAAATACAGGGAAAATTTACTTGCCTCATTAAAATATTGTGAAGTTGAAGTTCACAAAATGCAAAGCATCATCTCTTACATTATTAAAAATATTTATTTAACTACTTTTGTTTTATGACATGGCACGAGGAAAATAAATCCATATTGTTGGTTTTGTTTGCTTGTTTGTTTTCTTTTGTTTTTTTTAGGAGAAGATTTTTTTTTTAAGTAATAACGTTGCTGTTGAGCTGCTACTCATGACTGCGCTTACTGGTTCTGGAGAAGGCAGCTTCATTCATAATGCCTGCAGTGCTCTTTGCACCTCATTTCCAGTTAAGCCTTTTAGATACAAAAACCCAATGTTTTTGTAACTATCACTGATAATAGTGGGAATGATGACAAGTTAGAGGACTTTAAAAATGTCCTACTGTGAGACTCTGAAAGAAGATAGAAAATAAATTTTGAGAAGAAAAAAAAGGACCTCACTTACAAAAACAAAATATATATATATACACTTAACAATATGGTTTTCTTCAGATTTTTTTGTAATTACGTTCTCAACTATAAAAGGTTTATTTTTTTCTAAGACTCTCATTCAGGTTGTTATTCAATAGCATAAAGCAAAATGATCATGAAGCACATGATAGAAGAGAAATCTTCCATTTCCATGGGTAGCTTCTGAAGAGTTGGCTGCTTTATATTGTGAAGCGGAATTTTCACATAATAATAATTATCTTTCTCCTCCACCACAGATGAATAGTAGCTTTTACTCAATTTCTGAAGTTGTTTCATTACTACATACAAAGACCCCACTTAAAAACCTGTTCTTGCTCCTTTAAATTTATAATTGTATTGATTTGTGTTCATAAAAATGCCGCTGAATTTTCTGTATCAAGTTTTGTCCACAGTGAAGTACTTTCTTGATATGTTTTTTTCAAAGTATTTGTTCTCTGAACAATTCATAATACATAAGGCTGATTATCAGTCTTGGCTACTTGAATACATAATGACACAAATGCTGATAAAACTGTACAAGCCATCTGTCTCTGGAGTTCATTGTTTTGAAAGCAAACACAAAAATGCATAACAAATACTCCTTTAAATTGTCTTTGTAAATATTTATATCGGGTCTTACCCCAAAATGCTTTTTTGTTATTATTTTATTCTTTTAATAGCTGACAAGAAGGTGCATGACTTGTGTCCTCACAAGCAGACAGGTGTAAGAAGAAAAATAATGTATGCCACTAAATAGCTAGTCATACCCTAATGGTGTGGTCTTTTATCACTTTTTATTGTACCCTGAAGCTAAACTGTTATTTCATTGATTAACTTACTGCTGCAATTAGCGAGTAGCTTCTGGTGTGTTGACCACCTGCTTTTCAACCTGCTTCTTTAAAACACTCTTGCTTAAAGCCAGAAAATTCTTTCTTTAGTGCTGAAGAGTCAAGACAATGAGTTCAAATCAGTGAGGCTTTGTGTTCTCAACATAAATAAAAATAAAATAAAATAATAGTGCTCTTTGCCTGGGGGCACTGACATTAAGTACAGTGTATTCAAACATGGCCACAGCTGTGTTTCAGACTACCATATTTATTTAACTTTTCATATTACCTCTTAAACAGAAAAGAACAACAGTCACAACATTTTCAGCTCTATTTAAGCTCAAATACAGAAAGCTTTTTTAAAGCTTTCAAGGGTTACTTAATAATCTTTTCTGAGACCATATGATTTTTACAGCCTTTCCCATATAAATTGGAATTGAGATGACATTATTACATTTCTTGGATGTTTTATAATTACTGTGTATAATAAATAAAAAAATTGCAAATCAGTTTATAATAAAAAAATCTACTTTTGATTTTTTTTTTCCCTCTTGGATATCAGTGAAATGAATGAGAGCCTGTTCTTCTTATAATCTGAGAAAAAGAAAGAAAGAAAAGAAAAATCCAAGACTGAAAAGTCACGTGTTATGCTACTTGTGTTCTCTAGATATTGCTTATTAGCAGAAAGATTCTTCAGTGATTACAACCAAAATATATTTTCAGTATCTCATTACATGCCTATTCCACCTGAAAGAGTCAATACTGTTAAAATAATACTGTTAAAATAATCAATGTCATGGCCCCAAACCACCTTGTTCCAAGGTCCCTGTGTCCACTGCTGCTGCATCTTTTTTAATAGAATTATCACCAGCACTTTGTAACCTGTTGCTTCTGTCTCTTCTTGTTGATGTTTCACATTCTGTACTCAAGAGCAGATCAAGCCCGGAATAGTTATTTTTTTCTGTTTTGTCCTAGCTTATTTTTCATTATTACTACCAAATAATACCATAAGGTTAGCCTGTATCTTCATTATTTACCAAAGATAAGCTGTTAGAATCATTAGCTGTTAAAATCATTAACAACAAGAGGGACAGTCAACTGAGGAGAGAGGGTTTGTGCAAGGTACTGCTCAGAATACAGAAATTCAACAATTTTCTTAGTAAAGCAATTTCTTACCAGACAGGAAATCCAGAAAAAAAAAAAAAAAAAAAAAAAAAAAAGATTTTCTACACAATTTTGTGAAATACTTAAGTGATATAAGTAGTTTCCACTAAACTCTAGGTGGCTAAGATTCGTACTTCCAAAAAGATTCCAAAAACTATGCGTGATGACTTCTTTGGCTCCATCAATTTTGGAATGCAAGATTATTCAAGTACTTGAAATTCTGCTTCTGCACAGAACTGCCTCAGTCTTCTGATGACTGAAATGCTTCATGCCTAAATTGAATCAGGATTATGAAAGTAAATGTTCCCCTTCCTTCATACCTTGAATTTCTCAATGCAATTGGCCTTTTAAGAGTACAACTAACATATATACGCCAAGAGGTTCTAGTTTTGAATGATTGCAGTAGGCTGTTTTTAGATAGATAGATTCAGATTCATTTCTCCCACAGACCAAAATTATCTTCAGTCTTGCTAAAAAAATATTTGTTATGCATTGACATACATGTATAAACGCATATATGTTTTCCCACATGT